AAAGCATGAAAAGCAGAACCCCAAAAAAGAAACCAAGGCATAGAAGTCATCCATCCATTTCAACGGGTCAAACAGAGATGGCATAGTTTCAAAGTTGATTAATTAATCAATCAATTGTGATTTTGTTTTTATCTTTTTAGGGTATCTATGCTTTATTGTGATAAGAAAGCTAAAAGTCATAAAATTATAAAGGTGAAAGTCAGACCACATTATGCGGCCAGCAGAAGTCTTACTTTATACCATACAACATAGATTAAACTTCTGCATAATAAAAAAGTGGCCTTTCTGTAATTAATTCTATATTCCTAGTCCTCCCAAAATATCCTTTGAGTCTTTGACCCACATTCTTTTCATGTTTTTCTTTTTGGTCCTAATAGTGAATTTTCAACCTAAACTCTTGACATAATACATCTTCAATAGTTTTTCTATTCTTAGTTAATTTTTTATTTTATAGAGCTAACATCAATAAATTTCTCTCAAATAGGCTCTCTATTTAGACTAGATTTAATTTCTCTCAAATGGGCTCTCTATTTAGACTAGATTTTGAACTGCACTTAAGCTCTATGTTTCTCTCCTACAATCCATCCGGATGGTGCACCAGAGCAAAGTCTGCCCCTCAGAGTTAGAAATTTATGTTTGAGTCTATGTTGGGAAGGTGTTTCAGGGATAGAAGAGGTTTTCTATTACCATCCAAATGTATTTCATTCTCTTGTTGCTCTTGCATAGTTGCTTTTACCTAAATTTCATTATTAGTTGCTTACGTATTGCTTGCTTACGTATTACGTATGTGATGTTCGAAAACACAATTGGTTTAGTATCAACCAAATAACTTAGTTGTCTTAGAACCTCTCACTTTCTTATTGACCTTCCTTATTCTGTTTGAAAATAAAGGATTCTATTTTGTATTTTTAAGATAGAGAACTTTTCAGCCCAATAAGTTGGTTTAGCCATTAAGTTTTTTAGTTAATTCCTTCAAAGACCAAGGAAATAGGATAATTGAGGCCAAAGTTAAATAGAGAGTTTAATTTGATTCTCCACATTTGGAGAGTCAATCTCACACTCTATTTTTTCTTTTAGAGTAATACTACACTGACCAAATTTTGGAACTAAAATTTAGAGCACAAATGACATGGCAGCTGATTTGGGTTTTTTTATTTGGTGCCATGTCATTTGGACCCTAATAAAAACTCTAAATAATATGCTACCATATCATTTGAGCTTTAAATTTGGTCCTAAATTTTGGTTAGTGAAAAGATGACACCTATATATTCTTCATTAAATGCATTGACTAAAGAGACTATTATTTTATTAGGATGGAGAGTCCTATTGAAATTTTCAAAGGAATTTTATTATCTATTTTAATTTTTTTATGAAAAATTCTTTCTATTCTAAAAAAGGATGCTCGTAAAAATAGAAAAACATTATTAGAGATGCTCTTAACATAGTCACAACTACTTATATTTAACTTATTAGGGAGATTAATTCGATATGATTTATTCAAACTTGTGTAATCTAAATATGTTGGGACGTTGTGAATGAACCCAAATATTATCGGATTCCCTTCTAGTCTAATTTCCTTGTCCATAGAAAAACAATATTAATAATTTTGCTTTCAAACAAGTGATAAATGATCCTGTTTGGAGTTCACTTTTTTGAGTGCAAATCAGAGCTTTGAAAAGTAAAATGAAAAAAAATCAGAGTTAAAAAAGATTTTTGAACCGTTTAGAGTGTTTCCAAAAAAATTGACTTTTCTTTAGAATCTCTTGGATAAGTCTTATTTTTTAACTTATTTTTTGTACTGATAAAAACTATTTTTGTCTAAAAAACTGATGGAAAAGTCACCCAATAAGTCTAGGTCCAAACGGATTAGACTTCTTTTTCTTTGAAACCCAAAAATATACTAAGGTTTTAAACTAGTTCCAAATAGATCCAATATTGTGCGAATAATATTAGGTAAGTGATAAGATTATTTAGGGCAATGCTTCATGGATCGCTAAACCCCAAGAAAAAAAGTGATAATATTATTTAGATAACATTAAGTGTGAGAATGTATCATTTTGTATTAAATTTTATTTATTTAGGATGATTGAATCAAATTCATAATTTAGTAGTCAATTTCTTTGGTGCCGGATGTCCCATTTATCGTATGGATCTTTAGAGATTTTTTTTTTTTGATATGATATTATTATTGTAGGGAAAGAAGATGATAAAGTTCGATCCGGCAATCATAAAGTTGAACGAGTACAATTGGCCATCTACTTCTATAGAGATTAAATTCACATAGTTTATTTGTGAATGAAGTTGTATTCGTGAGTTAATAGTATTGTTAATTTTAAAGATAGTTTAAGTGGTAACAAAGACGAGGTGTAAATTCAAACGTTCTAAATTTGAAATTTAATAATTTCTTGGGACTAGGTTGTGGGAATTAATCTCTCATGAATACTTTAATTTTGACGTGAGTAGTCTGTCTTCAAATAGATTGCTTCGGACTGTTCAACCAAAAAAAAATAAAATTAGAGAGAATTACATCTAGGCTCCTTAAATCTTGCTGTCAATGTCCATTAAGTTATATCTGTTAGTAAATTATGCACAGACTTCCTGAAATTTATAGGCATGTACCACTTATACCTCTCGAATTTAAAATATTATACTTAGACTCTTTATTAGTTAAAGAATTAACAAAATTTATTAAACAATCAAATTATCCCAGTAGAAAATATTATGTCCTTTACAATTTGATCCCTTGTTTGGTTTTTTAATTTTATTCTAATAGATAATATAATTTTATACTAATTATTATTTTTTAAAGAAAAATTTTAATTTTAATTTTTGATTTTATTTCAATAAATGATATAATAGAGTATGAATTTTTGTTATAAAATTTAAAATATTTGACATTCTTTCTTTTTTAATTGAAATATTTTTGGTTTAAATATAATATTTTAAATTTGAGAGATTTAAAATGTTATTGTGTGCAAGAATTTCAAGAATTTGTGTATAATATTTTAAATATTAAGAGTTTAATTGATTAAGTAACAAATCGGTGTAATTCTTCCAAAAAGTTAATTATGTTGAGTGGAACGGTTTCGTGTCAGGTGGAACGAATTTGTGTCAAAAAATCTATCACATTCGTTTATATAAACGAGTCCAACTATCACACTCATACATAAATCATTTATTAGACAGATTACCCGATACAACCCGTTTGTCACCTGCTAAATAAGAGAATATGTTAGAATATTTCGAATCCACACAAAAAATCATTAACTCGTCACACATTACACATGTTTGACTTATTTACTATAATAATAAATCATGATTGAGCAAAAAAGTAAAGACAAAAAATAAATATTAAATGACTATTAAATTTAGATGAGTCTAAGAAATGAGAGTTGTGAAATGGTTCAGAGGCTAAGAGATCTAACTTTTTTTAAAAAAAATTATAATATCACTGTTAACGGGTTAAACGAATTGAAACAACTTTATGAGTTAAACACAAAATCGGTTCGTTTATTTTATGGGTCTGTCGAGTTAACCTATTAATCATCCGAACCTGTTAAGATAACATCTAAATCCATTAAATTCATGTTGAATTGGTATCGATTTTACTACTCATGTCTAAAATTGTCAAGTTTAATCTACGTACTTTTTATAATTAATTTTATTTTGGTGTATCTAATTATAAACAGTAATGCTAGACTGATCAAATTCTTGAACTAAATTTGGAGTCCAAATGACATGACAGTTGATTTGGGTTTCTTTGATTGGTGTTATGTCGTTTGGGTTCTAATAAAAACTTCAAATAATCAATTGTCATGTCATTTGAGCTTTAAATTTGATCTCAAAATTTAACCAATTTAGCATTAGTCAATTATAAATGACTCTAATATTAGTGTGTAATCATTGTTGCTGTTACTTGAAAACCCAATAAATTTGAAAGCATACCAACAAGAACACTTCGTCTTATTTTCCCCTCTCTCTCTCTCCAAATTCAACCGTTTGAGTGTGGAGTCCCATAGTCATCTAAGAACTTGGGAACTTTTCACAGTCGGTGGTTCTCAGATTCTACGCCTCTTTCATTGTCACTATCTAACTATCATCACCACAGTATAATCTTTCTGTTATAGACTCTGTAATTAAGCTCTTCAGCTATATATTTTCATATTCTTGCCTCTATCGAGTACAATTCTTGGTGGGTATTTCATATTTTGGTTGGTAAAGAAAGAGACGTTCTTCTTCACCAACTCCGCAACTCTTTTTACGCTCTTGAAAGGTTGGGTATGAGAGAGAAATAGTTGTGTTTAGTGGATTTCTGAGTAGTTCTTGAGATTCTTGGTATTGGGTAACTGTCAATTTTTGTAAAATTTGGAAGAAAAGGAGAGTAGATATGGTGAATTTCAATGAAATTTGGAAGAAGAAGACGTTGGTGGGTCTTGGGTTGGGACAGTTTCTCTCTCTTCTGATCACTTCTGCTGGCTTTTCATCATCTGAGCTCGCCAGGAGAGGTATGTTTCTCTGTGGTCCGGTTACTCTCTTTTGAAAACTGTGCTGTTTTTGACCTTCAATTTGATCGAGTTATACAACAGGGTATTTGCATTTGGTTTGTGAAATCTAATTATCCTTGCTGATTATACAGTTTCATTTGTATTTTGTATCTTTCAATGAAATGAAAGTTTTGTTTCCTATCAAAAATAAAAAGAAAAAAATTTATAATGTTTCATTTGAGTACAAATAAGTTACTCTCTCTATACTACTGATTATACAGTTTCATTTGAGTACAAAGTGGTTACTCCCTATCTATATTTTGATATTCATTTGCTACTTTTCATTATTTCAGATTGTGAGTATTTGGCATATTCTCATGTTTGTTGTTAATTGGTAGAAGAAATTACGTGCATTACTTTTTGTTGTATGATATGCAAAGTTCCCTTATACTTTCTTACATCTTTCTCAATTATCGATTTTAAATGATGTGTTATGTATTCGTTTGTGTATCTTAGGAATTAATGCTCCAACTTCACAATCTATGCTAAATTATGTGCTCTTGGCATTAATCTATGGAGGTATTATGATATATCGACGACAAGCGCTAGCTCTGCGTACTCTAGCCTTGATTGTTCTCATTTTACAATTAATTGGTTGTGTGATTGGTTTTCTGATTGCAATGACTGTTTTTATCTGCTGCTAACTGATAAATTTGTGAACTAGTAGTTAGGGGTGCAACTCGGGGGGTTGAGAGGTCAATCTGAGACCAACATTAGGTATATAATCTTTAACCCTAACCTTAACCCTACCTCAATCCGAGTACTGCCCAAGTTTAATTCGGGAGGGGTCGGGTTGAATTCGGGTTATTTAATTTGGACTGATTTTGGGTTAAAAATTGGTTTGAGTTTGGGTTACTTAATTCGGATTGATTTTTTAAAGTATAAATTTGATTTTTCAAGTGATCTGAGATGAAGGGTGAGGCCCAGATGAAGAAAGAGGGAGTGAGAGAGGGAGGAGTGACGAGTGAGAGTGGGATCTAGGAGTGATGGAGGCGCAGAAGTGAAGACTTGATGTGAAGTGAAGTTTGGATTTTGAAGAGTGGAGATAAACATTAACCTTAATTAAATATATTTATATATTTATGTATATTCGGGTTCAACCTGATTTAATAATCGGGTTTAACCAAATTTTAATATTCGGGTTCCACCCGACAACCCGAGACTTATCCAAATTCAATTCGGATTGAGATTTTTTTGCCCAGGCCTAACCCAAGTATTAAAAATTCTAACCCAAGCCCTATTACTATGGAATTTGTGCAGGCAAAATGGTATTAATATGTACTTCTTGGGTTAGTAGATATAGAGGCCAATTTTCTTGGTAAATCTTCCATGCCAATGGTGTTTTTACACCGAACTTACTTCATCTCTTAGAATTCAAAGTGATAACATGTTCTGCTTAGTGCTCCGGCTAAAGTCAAATAACTCCATTGAATGCATCATTTTATTCAACTTGTTTTTTTGTTTTGCTGTAATTCCCTATATATCTCAAAGTAGTTATTTCCAGGGATGGAACTTTCATTTTGTTTCCACCGAAACGATCGTAATGTTCGATTTCCATGAAAACCGAAACGAATCAGTGAATGGATATCAAGACTGTCCTATGAGGTGTTTCGAGGAGTTTTGGAATGTGTGAAGGTGTTTCGTAATGTTTTGGACACAAATTTGCAATTTTTTTCTATGTTTGCATTTCATTGCCATTTCAAAGTTGACCAAAACTATGCATCAAAACAAAATTTTGATATTTTGATTACTGCTACTTTTACTATGTTACATATTGCCCCTAGAATTTCTAATGCAGACAAGTGCAAAGAATACCACCTACAAAAGCCACTATTGTAACTACTTGAGATAGATGTAAGTGAAATAGATACAAACTAAGTGTAGAACCCCCGTATATATAGTCAATGAGAGTTACAACAAGGACAAAACGATAAAAAAGAAAACTTAATAAAACCCTAATAAACTAGGCTGCTGCTATATCAGGCTGCTGCTATATCTCCAACACTCCCCCTCAAGCTTGACGCAAAAATGTCAACTAAGTTAAGCTTAACAACGGAGTCCCGAATAATATATAGAGTGATAGGTTTGGTAAAAATATCCGTAACCTGATCACTGGTCCCTACGAACGATGGAGTGACAATACCACTACTAACCTTCTCCTGAAGAAAGTGAACATCGATCTCTATATGCTTCGTCCTCTTATGTAGTACAGAGTCAGAAGTGAGCTGAATAGCAGATCGATTATCACAATATAATGTGGATGGAGAAGTCACTGAAAATCCCAATTCACCAAGAATCGATCGTAGCCAGATAATCTCACACGTGACAAGTGCCAATGCCCGATACTCTGCCTCTGCTGACAAGCGAGAGACAACTGCCTGCTTCTTACTCTTCCAAGAGATAAGATGAGTCCCTCGAAAAGCACAGAAGCCTGTAGTAGATCGACCGTCACATGCTCTCCCATAATCTGAATCTGAATAACAGGCTAGAGAACCGGTCTGAGATCCTGATGCATAGAACAACCCAAGTCCAGGACAAGACTTAAGGTACCGAAGAATATGATAAACTGCATCGAGATGAGGCTGACACGGCCTGTGCATGAACTGACTAACTCGGCTGACTGCGAATGAAATATCCGGCCTAGTGTTCGCTAAGTAGATAAATCTACCTACCAACCTCTGATAAACTGTCGGATATCTCAACTCCTTACCTTCAGTAGTAAACTTCAGGTTTGGAATCATGGGTGATGATACTGGTTTGCACCCCAGCATCCTAGTGTCTGAAAGAAGATCCAAAACATACTTTCTTTGAGAAAGAATAACACCCCCTGCTGGTACGAGCAACCTTAATCCCAAGAAAGTATCGCAGAAATCTAAGGTCCTTCACATCGAAGGCCTTCCAAAGGTCTACCTTGACCTGCGCAGTCCCATAAACATCATCACCAGTAATAATAATATCATCAACATATACCAGAAGGATGACACACTGTCCAGAAGTATTCCATCGAATAAAACAGGTATGATCAAAATAACATCTGGTGAACCCCAAATGTACAACTACATCACTAAAGCGAGAGAACCAGGCTCGTGGTGACTGTTTCAGTCCATAAAGAGACTTACGCAGTCGACATACCTTTCCAGCATACTCCCCCTTACCACGAAAACCTGGTGGTGCATCCATATAAATAATCTCGTCCAAATCACCGTGAAGAAATGTATTTTTTACATCTAATTGATGAAGAGGCCAAGAGTACTCCGCAGCCAGAGAAATAATCAACCGAACAGTAGTCAATTTTGCCACGGGGGCAAATATAGCACCAAAATCACGACCTGGTACTTGAGTAAAGCCCTTCGTCACAAACCTAACCTTGTGACGATCAATAGTACCATCTGCAAGAAACTTCAGGGTGTAAACCTAGTGACAACCAACAGACTTCACTCCTGAAGGTAAAGAGACAAGATCTCATGTATGATTACGCTAAAGAGTGTCCATCTCTGTTTGCATGACAAGAATCCACTGGGGCTCCCGTATAGCCTCCGAAACAGAGCGAGGAACTGGCGTATCTGATAAGGCCATACTATAAGCTCGAAATGTAGGAGACAAATCACCATAAGAAACATAAGTGGAGATCGGATATAAAATCCTGGCGGTCCAACCATAACGATCAACTGGACGGCGATCACACCGCAGATAACTACGTTCTAAATCATCATCCTCCACTGATAATGTCTCATTAGGTAAAGGAACTAGCTCAACACCTATAAACTCATCAGTACTAACAACATGTGCATCAATATGCTCAACAAGCTGAGAAGTATTACCTGCATCGCCTGAGGTAGAGGGGACATCAGCAGGGTGATGAGAGCGAGGGCGACGAACATACACCTGCGAAGGAAGAGAGACTGTTGACTTTGTACGGACAGGGATGAGTGGCTTCAGAGGAGGAGAGACAGATGAACCTATAGGGATAGTGACCAATGACTCTGGCTTTTGTGGTAATAGAAAATCAAGGAAAGTATCATCAATTGAAGGAGCAGACACAGGACTAGAAGGAAAATAAGGAATATGCTTAAAAAAAGTAACATCTAGACTGTGACACATACGACGCCTAATAGGATCATAACATCGATACCCCTTAGATTGATGACAATAGCCCACAAAGATACAACGAATCGTTTTATCATCAAGTTTATGACGAGTAGGAGATCGATCATGAACAAAACATATGCATCCAAAAACACGAGGGGGACCGAAAAAAGTGTCCGTTCAGAAAATAAGACCTGTAAGGGAGCTTTATGCTGAAGAACACGACTTGGCGTACGATTACACAAAAAGGTAGAAGTCAAAACAGCAAAATGCCAATAAGATTTTGGTACTCTCATGCCTCGAAGCATACAACGTACCATCTCTATCAAACTCCTATTTTTCCTTTCAACAACACCATTTTGCTCAGGAGTATATGGACAAGTGAGTTGCTGAAGAATACCCTGAGAAGAAAGATGGGACACTAAGCATCAGACACATATTCTTTGGCATTATCCGAACGAAGAGCACGAACAATGACATAAAATTATGTCTTAATCATCTGTAAAAATTGAGTGATTATAGGGAGTATATCAGACTTTCGATGCAAAAGGTAGACCTAAGTACAACGGGTATGGTCATCTATAAATGTCACATAGTATCGGGCACCTGACAGAGCAGTAATGGGAGAGGGTCCTCAAATATCAGAGTGTATTAGGTCAAATGGCTTAGGTGACTGATGTATGCGAGGAATATAACTGGCCCTAACATGTTTCGATAGGGAACATATAACATAGTCAAGCTTACCATCAACACAAGCATTGCTCAAAGCAGGAAACAACATACATAAATATTTAAAATTTGTATGTCCAAAACGGTCATGCCACAACTGAACAGTTTGTNCAATCAAGTTTACCACCAACACAAGCATTACTCAAAGCAGGAAACAACATACATAAATATTTAAAATTTGTATGTCCAAAACGGTCATGCCACAACTGAACAGTTTGTGACGAAAAATCATAATGACAACTACTAGGTAAAATACTAGCATGCAAGTTAGGAACAGATAAAGACAAAGCAGGTGCAGGTGCAGGTGCAGTTGATATAGGTGGAGGAATTGGTGAAACTGGAGGTGGATTGCCAAGATAATATAGTCCATCTTTCTCATGTCCCCTGATAATAATCCTCCTGGTACTTAGGTCTTGCAAATAACATGAATCAGATAAGAATACAACCGCACAGTAAAAATCTCTGGCTAACTGATGTACTGATAATAGATTCATGGCCAACTTTAGCGCATGAAAAATCGAACGTAATGTAAAGCCATCTGGGAGACGGACTGTACCCCTACTAACAATAGGGGCATGTGTCCCATCTGCTAACTGAACCTGTGTATGTAACTGCTTGTCAAAAGTGGTGAAGTGATGGGCCGCACTTGTCATGTGACCATTCGCACCCGAGTCCAACATCCAAAGAGGAGATGAACTCGCACAAGCATGAAAGGCACGAGGTATACCTGTAGTGGCAGCAGCAGTAGTCGGACTCTAAGAAGTCAGAGCAGACATAAGTATATCTAATCGGGAAGTGATAGCATCCATATCATTCTGCCAAGGAGGAA